GTACGCGATCGATCGCGTACTATATAGTATACGCATGCTATACGCGGCCGCAGAGCCGTTTACACTTCGGTTACTCGCTTGTTCAAAGGGACGATTAATCGAGCTCCGTTTTTGGAGCGATTCCTAACACTACAGTACTATCCAGTATACGACACGAATACCAGTACACGACACCAGTAAACGACTGGTGTTCACATTTTGAAAACAATGTCATGACTTGCAGCAATGGTACATGCAACTGCAAGTAATTTGCATCTCGTGGCTCCTGCATTTCAAGCTGTATACCCTATATTTAACTTGTGAAGAAAAAAAAATTTATATTCCTGCCTACCCATGTTTTGCAGGGAAAAAATTAAAAAAAAAAAAAAAATGTTATGCCTACCTACCGACCCTAATTTTCACAATCCATGTGACCCGAACCAAAGGTATTTTTTTGTTTGGCCTTATAACAACAATATTAATTAAATATTATATTAACGTTAGAATAGAGTAATGCTCATGTAACACTTCATCTTTCATACTTAGTGGTGGTGGGTGTGTCACCATTGTCACTTTTCTGTGAATCCATCTGGTGACATCTGGGATCATTTCTTGCTACCAAACTCAACAAAATTTCAAATTTTCAGCAAGAGAACATGAAACGGCAACTCAAGGTGAAAATAGAGATGGCAAAATTCTTACAAGATACGATTGAAGAGATGGGTCTAAGGAAGATCAAGAAATCGGCAGATGCGAAGGGACACCTGACACATGAATTTTCAGAATTTATGAACAAGGTTGGTATAAAGACTAGGCTATCTGGCTTAATTTCAGGCATGCATGGCATATTTTTGCAGCTGCCACTGGTCAGATTTATATACAATAGTAAAACGTGTGATCACGGTGGTATTAGCCTCTTGGTATTATCCTAGCATACCAGGTTAGTTGCCTCGGACCCACACATGGATGCTCACAAACTGGGTTCTTGCACGGCTCCTCTTACGCTTGCCACCCTTCGTCTATTGCATGGCATACCAATCTCGCTACGGTTGCCGGGAAGCGGCGAACTATAAAACGATGAGCGGACGTGTTACAGATCCGGTCGGGTGGAGTGCTCGCGACCACGGAGGAGATACGCAAATACTCGAAGCTGTTTGAGAATGAACTGACACTGGATAACCTAACTCACAGCCAGCTATCTGCCGTCTGCAAACTGCTGGACCTGAACCCTATCGGCACGACTAACTTTCTCCAATTCCAGCTGCTCATGAAGCTACGATCCTTGCGAGCGGATGATAAGGTAGGAACTGGTGCAGCTGTGGAGGTGATGCTAGTAGAAGCCACTTCTAGTAACCACTCGATGCCTTAACATGTTCACGTAGTAATTCATGATGTGTTACACTGAAGGGGTGTGGGGTGTAAGGTTAACACACCAGCTCTCCCATGGGAACATTAGGGACAAGGTAAAGGGGTAACAGTAAATTAAGTACAGTAGTGGAACAAGAATAAGCACAACAATACTACACCAAGAAAGCGAGAATGCTGTCATAACATGAGCAAGCCAGGGTATAATAATATTTTAGATGCAAACGTTAATACGTTATTGTTAGTAGGTTCAATGAGCAGGCACAGATACATGAAGGGTTTACGAGTAACTCGATCATATTTGTACAAATTATCAGCACTCGAATTACTGACCAATGTTGTATCGCTTTCTACAACAAGTTATCACATGCAGTTATTATGCTCGTTAACCCCACTTACCTGTGTTCTCACCTGAGAAACTATCTATTCTACTATATTATATAATTTGTGTTCTAACGTAACATCATAATGACTATTCTAACCGCGCGCGTGCGTGCATCTCTGTAGATGATACAGAAGGAAGGTGTCGACGCGCTGAGCGTGACGGAGCTTCAGCAGGCGTGTCGCGCACGAGGCATGCGCGCTCACGGCGCCTCGCAGCAGCGGCTCACCTCACAGCTCACTCAGTGGCTCGACCTGCACCTCAACAACAAGATTCCCATCTCACTGCTGCTGCTGTCGCGCGCTCTATACCTGCCGGACGTGATGTCATCGGACGAACAGCTGAAGACGACGCTGTCACAACTGCCAGAGAGCATCGTAAGTCTCCTCCTCCTAGAGGCGCGCCCCATGCGATGCATATATGATATATATATATATATATATATGATATACATGTGTTGTAGGATTGCTGTATTCAGATGATGAATAGATAGCATTGCTGCTACACGATTATACGTAAGGTGCTTTATCTTGCTATGTGTGTAATGTTAGGTCGATAGAACATTCTTGCTTAACTTACTGCACACAGACACGTAAGGTGTTTTACATTAGGTTGAAGCATTACGTCGATAGATAGGTAAGGGTATTCGTTGCCTAGAGTTGTGCTGCGTGCCACGTGCGTGTGATTCGATGCTGTGATTGTTGTATCGTGATCATAAGTAGTACTGCTCTTGTTGCAGGGGTATATGTAAAGTCAGGAGTAGATAGGTTCTTATAGTGAATCATTATAATAATATTTATATGTAGATAAATTTTATTCTAGTGCACCATTTAATAGATCAGGAATTAATCATTGTTTCCATGCCCAGACGATTTTAGCTTTGATTTATTTTACCTATTTATAGACAGAGGAAGCAAAGCTGCATATTATTGAGGTTGAAGGAGAGACAGATCACAAGGCCAAGTTGAATCTGATCAAGCAAGAGGAGGAGCGCATCAAATTAGAGAAGGCAGAAGAAATAAAGGTTCAGAAGGTGCAGGAAGCCATAGAGAAGGTGAGCCTAGAGTCAGAGGTTGCCCCCAACCATATTCAATGCAGAATGGGCAACTTGTTTGGTTTTGAGTCTACACGTGTTACACATTTGTGCTAATCTCACTGAACCAATTTCTTGAATTCTGTTATTCACCTACAGGATTCGTAAAATAATGTTAATGCTGAGGTAAATTTCCATTTGTGTAGTGAGAAAATTATAACCACAATGAACTGATCGTGTGTCTGTGAATTCCATGTGAGTAAATTGTGCAGCTACAAATATATAACTACTCCTACAACTATTACAGGCGAAAAAGATCAAAAAAGAAGAATTGCAAGCACAGGCGGCCATGCTCACTCAGGAGCCACCAGTAGAGGGAGCTGTGCCTACAGTGCAGGACGTCATAGCAACAGCAGCTTCCTCTGTCAGCAAGGAGGAGTTGGTAGACACAGCACCGATCGTGAAGGGCATGCCTGGAGAGGGTGGGCATTTCTAATACGCATTATACCAATGTCTGTCCAAACCAATATTAATTTAATGACATTTTATGTTTTATAACCTATATATTATATATATATGTCACTTGAATTTTCCAGGCATGGTAATTTTGCTAATATTTTAAATATAGCAGGTAATCGTGGTAACAGCTGAGCCATACACTGAAGTTACCGTAGGTTTAACTCTGTCAACTCATCAAGAATTCAACAGTAATGCTTAACATAAGATAAATGAACTGTTGCTGAATATTCGCCTATTGTGGATATCGAATTGATTGCACTGTTTGTTATGGGCAGAAATACCTGCAGCTACGGAGGAGTTCACAGCCAAGGACATTGAGAACATTGAGGAAGTACTTGAAACTCTAGAGCAAACGAAACTAGTGGCTGCTAAAGAGGACCTGGCTGAGTTGAAGCAGAGCTCAAAGGAATATAAAGAGGTGTGTTTGTCATTGCAGGCAACGTACAACACAGCCAGTGACATAATATAGTTAATAATGACTTCATCCACGAATTTCAAGAGATGCAGAGATGGAAATGTAATGAATTGATTGTGGTATTACAGAAGAAAAAGCTATTTACTTTGCCAAACACGTGAATAATTTCCATTCAATAATTTCTCAGTAAATGAGTAAATTTCCTTCCCCGTGGGTACGATAAAGGGTGCTCGTGTACGCGATTAATACCATTTGATCTATTTCACAATGTTTTGTTGTTTCCTTCTGCAGGACCTTGAAGATCTGAAGGTGATTGAGATGACAAGTGGTGCAGAGGAGGTGTACCAAGAGACGACTGCCTCCAAGAGGCTTGGCAAGAGCGTTGCCCACCTTGTAGAAGAAATCGACTCCAGTATCACCAACATGGATAAGGTAGTACTCACAGCCATTTCGCATGTCTAAGCCTACTGCGTCAATGTTCACTCAGGCACTAGTGTGACTGTGTGATGACCGATCTTACGTTTTCACAACATTAGTGTGTTTCATGTTAATCTCTCAGCATAGTGTAGATTGAGCGTCGTTGGCATGTTAGTAGGGAATAACGTAGATAATATAGTAAGTATATGAAGTGTAAAGCAAGCACACACGAACATGTGTAGCACTCCCTAATTACTGGCTATTCGTTTATTAGCTCACCTTGACATCGTCAAGATGAGCTATTGCTATGTCCGTCGTACGTCCGTCTGTCCGTCCGTCAACAGTTGGCTACGGTCAATGATAACTTGAGAACCGTTTGACCCATATGTTTCAAATTGCATAGTTGTTACTCCTATGGGAGAGATGTGAACGTCCTATTTTGGAGCACGCCAGTCGACCTACTTTCGAGCCACGCCAACTTTTTGGCAAAAATGGAAATGGTCATAAGTCAGTTCAGGTTCAACGGATTTTGCTCATTTTTGGCATGTGAATGAATAAGGACTGGCCCCAAAACATATCACACGGGTTTTGATTATTTTTTTTTTAATTATGCAAATTAGGTAGATTTGGGCAATTTCACTATGTATTTCAGTGCCTGCCTACGGTCAACGATAACTCAAGAACCGTTTGACCCACATGTTTTAAATTGCATAGTTGTTACTCCTATGGGAGAGATTTGAACGTCCTATTTTGGAACACGCCAGTCGACCTACTTTCGAGCCACGCCCAATTTTTGGCAAAAATGAAAATGGCCATCTAGATTCATTCGATTTTGTTAAATTTACCTACCTACCTACCTACCTACATACCTACCTACCTACATACCTACCTACCTACCTAATCATACCTACATGTAATATTGTGTTTTAGATTCTTCGTTACAGTAATTTGACTGGAATATTTTATTTCTTTTATTTGCACGATAATCAAAAACCAAAATGGCGATCATTTAGGTGTAGCGCCATCTCTCGTCCAGATTTCAGACTCAGATCTGAAACATTTATTTTAGCATCAAAACTAACCCTGAAACAAAACAGTGAAAAGGGACATTTGATCACATTTCGGTCCGTCATAAATGAAACACTTACCAAATTTTAAATATTATCTCCCTATTCTATCACACCCAAGGTAAGCTATAGTGTCATTGACACTTTCATTGGTCCACCTATCGTGTTACAGTGTTACTCCTTACAGTATATCTTCATCTTTTGCTTAGCATCGTATTAAAATTACCTTTCGTGAGTGTACACGTATGATTTCGTTCTGTTTAGGAGAAAGCGGTCGTGGAGGAGATCATCACTGATCAGCAGGACCAGATTAAAGACGTAAAAGAGGAGATGATCTTAGATAAGCAGACGCCGGTTTCTGAGCCGGCTGCAATAAAAACTGAGGTTGTGCAAGAGAAAATAGTGGAACAGGTTCAGGAGCAGAAGTGAGTATACTATGAAATGCTTTATTCGAGTCTATTATACTTCACACTCGTGCACCGATGCGACAAAAACTGCAAGGAGTCGGGTAACCGTGTACAAAAATTGCAAAATTCACTGCCAAGTATGAGAGCATAGTATAATCTGATCGCGCGGTCAGCGGTGTCCGACCGTAATTTCACGGTGCATGCTCGCTAACACGTGGTGGTGAATGTTTCAG